ATGACATGATGTGATCATAACTACAGTGCTGCCACAATCTTTTGAATAGGGATGACAGAAAACTCGTCAAACTCAATAGTGGGAATTACCCGCTTAATTGGGTTGGATGTGGACGGGGGATTTCGCCCCGAGGCAAATAATGTAACGGGGCCTCGCCTCGTTCATTTTTTTCTTTTTTTGAATTCATTACTTTTAAATGGAAAAGTTCACAAAATTTTATTATTTCTAATAGAAGATGGCAATTAAATTTATTTAAAAAATATGATAAACAATAAAAATCTCAGTTTATCAAATATATTCGAATAATTTAACTTTTAAATATAAATAAATTAATTAAAAAATTCAATAACTATATTATTGTCTTACTTCAATGAATGGAGGTAATAAAATGAATTATCAAAAAATTAATAATAAAAAATAAACGAGTATGTAAACGGGGCAAGGGCCCTACATCACCTTAAACAAGTAATGGGGCGAGCAATTGCCCGACAGGACGGGGGCGGGAGAGCCCGGCCCGCCCTACCCCTTCGTCATCCCTACTTTTGAATTAAGAAAATAAATAAAGCATTTTTTTTTTATAAAATTTAGATTTCAATCTATTAAAGATAACAATTAATTTTAAATACATATTTTACTGTAATTTAAAGATTATAATCACACATTTTATCAAAATTTATTAAAAATTTTATTTTAATTCTCACTAAACAGCGACTAAATGTTAGTGGATGGATGGCGGATAAAAAAATATAAATTTAGTGGTGATCCTTTTTTCCCCCCAAGTGAGCTGGTTTGCCTAGATTCGCCTGGTGAATGTGAATCAAGCCGAGTTACACCATTAGCATCCCTAGCAAAGCGTGGAAATTACGCAGTCACCTCTTTTGACCGTCTATTGTGGGCCTAGGTGCCCAAAAGGCGAACACCATTTTTATTATTATTATTATTATTTTTTAAGTTTCAATTTTTTGGACCTAATTTCTAATATGGACTTTGACACCAAATTAGAGTGGACGATTTCTTGACCTATTCCCTCGTCGAATCTTGTACTTTCAAATTATTATTATTATTATTATTATTATTTTTTTCGAAAGCTTAAAAATTGTCTAGTTAAAAGAATAAAGTTAATTATAGTCTTTATTATTTTAGTTATTTGGTATGCATTATTTTATTATTTATGGACATAGAATAATTAAATAATGTAAAAAAATAAGAAATCATCTTTTTACACCTAAACTCATAAGACTTGAGACTTAATTTCACCACTTTATCACCCCAATTATACCCTCAATTTGTGGCATCAAGGATATAATCAAGTTTGTTTGGTTGATTCATTATTAGTATTTTTGTTCACAACAGAAATACATTACAATGGTTTGATTTACTATTTAGCAATTTTTATCATTATGATCTAAAATGCACAGTAAATTTCATTTATCATCATGCTAAACAACACAATTATCGCATTTTTACATTTCTCAATCATATTCAATTCAATTAAATCAAGTGTACTAAACGTGTCATTAATGAATTCAAACTTCAAAATGTACAAAAATACGTAGCCAATTATATTATCGCTACAATTTCTTTTAGTTGCAATAAACGTTTTCAACTTTTCCTTATTGTCGAAATTATGTCCCCAAGCTTTTCTATTGTGTTCTTGTCATAAATCTTTCATTATTTAACAAGTACTTTCCCCCATCGTCATTTCCATCCTAAAGTCAAGGGAACATTGAATAACTCCCAATTGAATTGAAGAGCTCCAATGGCTTCCCTCTCTTTTCATCTCATACCACAAAAGACACAATTCTCAACCAGGCCAATGTATTTATGTGATGAGATCCTAACGCTGAAATATTAACAGAAGAATCATATCCAACTACAATATTATCACTCTCGAGGCCACCCATTTTCTCATTTTTTCTAGCAAAAACCAAGGTAAAGAAGGAAATGGATCATTTCAATGGTGTTTTAACTTTTACGGCAGCTTTTTTTCTAGCACATATTTCTTTACGAAGCTTTACAGAGAAGGACACCATATGTAGAAACAAAAATATTAGATAGAACATTATTTTTCATTAGGAAGTTGTTTGTATAGTTCATAACTGCTATGCAAGATAGAGAACTACACGCGAAGAAAAAATATCAAAGTAAATTTCAAGACTATTAATTACATAAATAGTGTTTCTGAGTCAGCACTAGTGGGATTCACTTACATATTTTCTATGTTCAACTAAGTGTTCGCACCGACCGACTAAAAATAGCATTGACAATCACCAGAAATACAACTACAGCTTCTACCTTAGATAGCAGCTAGAAATATACATGCAGCTATTAAAATACTGTGTATTCTTTGTCTTATGTTTTGTACAAGTTCCAAACTTTCCATTTCATATCCGCCAGCCATCCAAATTGGAAAAGTAACTTCCTCGATTGCAGCTTCACAAGGTGCTGTCGGTAAGGTATCAATATATTCCTAAGACCTATATTTTGGAATTTGAAAAAAAAAAGAAAAAAAGAAAAAGAAAATTGACATTAAGAAAACGAATACCTCAAACTTATGTTGAATCCAGAATTATCATTAGTAGGAAAGACTACAGATACTGATGGGGAGGGGCAATGCCGTTCAATTCAATGAAGAAAGATCATTATATTACCTGAAGTGCACATCGTCTTATAAAGATGAGCAATACTAGGATCTCCTTTCGTATTCATATGTGGCCTCTCCAAGCACTCCAAGAATGCAATGTCTGCCTTCAGAAGCTCGGCCTGATCATGGGTGTCATAACCCATATCATGGCAATAGCAGCAAAAGTCCAACCAATCAATTGGTCGTTTGTCCCATATAAGAGACCCTTTATCTTTGCCACTCGACCAATTGGGTCCACAGTAATGTCCATATCGAGGAAACAACTGAGACAGAAAAGCTCTTGGACCTGTATGCCACGGAATTTTGGAAACATAAGGTCTGAAACGTTTTGTTGAGTACTGAGTACTATTGTCAGCCTGACCACGAGGTTGCATATGCCTTTTCAGCTCTTTGTTGACAGATGTTCGAATTTGGATTTTATCACTCTGGCTGATAGCCCAGGGTATTAATGAGAAAAGGGACCATCTCCAAAGCCTGATGTCAAACGAAGCCTCGTGTTTTGGTGCTTCCATAAGGGCACCAGTCGATATGACAGTTGATGTATCCTTGTTTGAATGGGCTCCAAACCAAGGAATATGCCTGGGAAATTCGAAGTTCATATGCATGCCTCAGTCACCTATTAATAACATAGTTGTATTAGATGAATCACAACCACATGGTTAACAACTACCTTTTCATATGAAAAACACTAGCACAATTTTCCTTAATATTGCAAGTGGCAATTTTGTAAAATTTATGATTTGGGCAATTTACTGATTGAACAACAGAAGGCAAAAAAAGGAAACTGAAAAATAGTTATTTCCATAAATTAAGTAGAGCTGTTCTTAATCGACTTGACAATGTACATATAAATTGTACAGGGAGATTCAAAAATTTCTACATATAGAGTGACAAAGAGAGAAAATAAATGCCATGGAACCCTTGCACAAACAACTGATTATCCCGTGATTCAACAAAAACCGTAGCCATATCTAATGCACAAAAACATACTTGACAACTGTGTTGAGCTGGTCGAGTATCAAGCTCAACCAACTTGGCAACTAGGACAAGTTAGATGAGTCGATTGTGCCTTACAACAAAAATAGTGAAATCCGACAAACACCATTTTTTATAAGGTCAAAAGGTGACTTTATAAACTACGAGATTAAAGATGATCATTTTCACTTGGCCAAGAAAAACGCCTACAAAAATTGCCACATCGTAATTCGGAGAACTAAGAAACTTTCAATTAAATTGGCTTTATAAACTACAAGATTAAAGATAGTCATTTTCACTTGGCCAATAAACTACAAAATTTGCCACATAGATACTTCTGAGAACTAAGAAACTTTCACTTACAATACTCATTCATGCTTGAAATTCACTACTACAAGCTTTTCCCTATTGTGGAATCTAGCATTATATCGTTAAAAAACACAATATTCTAACTTTATTGAATAAATATACCCTATCCCTGATCAAGATCCTCCCAGACCAAATCCATAGTCCTAAAATTGGACAATTAATATGGCTAACACTATCTCAAATGAGGAAAGTAGACAACTAATCAAAATTAATGGAGCAATACATAAAAATTTAAAACAAATGTTGTCCCTATTTCACTAAATCGGAATTTGTATCCACACACACATCATATAATTTGCTACCGCGATCATTTCTGTATTTAACTGAAGAAATTTACAAATTTAATAAGAAAACGGTTTTTAATCCTAGAAAAGCGAAAGCACAATCAACCCTGGAAGCAGCCAGTCGAAAAGCATTTTCATTCAAAAATTAGTAGATGGGCTCCTGTATTCAATTAATTCTCTTCTATTCCGCATCTTGTTTAACGAAAAAACAAAGGAAAAGATAAACAATCCCAGAACTTGAAGCAAAACATAAAGAAATATCATAAACAGTTTCTAATAAATGTTTTCAGTACCTAGTTTAATTACTTCAATCTGCGTACCTGATCATCTTCATAGCTCAGAAATACTTCATTACCACGTTGTGCGTGTTTCTGTGTGTGAGAGAGAATTATCTGAAATTTCTGGAGATGACTTTATTTTGGGCGGTGGAGTTGGATTGGTCACGCTGACGTGTGATTTTGAAATAGTTCGTCCGTCATCCACATATTACGCCATTGTCTGAAGCCCATTGAAAATGGGGTACTTTTAATTTTGACCCAGTCAAAGGAGCAAAATTTCAGTTTGACTTCCAAAATCAAGAATATTATGACATTGGCCTCTTGTATGGTAAAAGACAAAGATGCCCTTAAATATTTTGTACAATTACAAAACAATATATTGTTGAAAGGACTATACTACCCTTTTACTTAATAATTGAAAACCAAACATTTCCCCACTTATAAAAACTTCAAAACGAGCTTCCAACACAGAAAAAACTCTCATATTTTCATCTGCTTGAACCTCAAAATCTAGAAGAACTTTGGAACGTTGAAGCTGAAAATTTTTTTCACATCAATTACTTCAATTCGGTAAGTACATTTAATCATGTTTAATTTCGTTTTAAGTAAATTAGTATACGTTAAAAAGAGAAATTTTATGTCGACATAGATTTATTTTAACAGAACCTATCAAAAAAATAAAATTAAACGGATGTATAACTTACGTTTAAATTACGCATGCTTAATTTCGTTTTTAGAACGGTATTCTCCTACGCCAAACTGGTATAACTTAACAAACAGTCGGAAATAGTCTGAAACAGCCGGTTGTTGGATGTTTAACAGCCGGGAAACAGCCGGCTGTTAAATATCCAACAGCCGGCTGTTCAGAAGTCGGCTGTTAAACAGCCGAAGCCGGCTGTAAAACAGCCGAAAACAGCCGGTTGTTCGGCTGTTTAACAGCCTAACAGCCGGCCGTTAAACAGCCGGCTGTTAGGCTGTTAAACAGCCTTCGCTGCAGCTGATTTTTTGCCTTTTTATTTCTTATAATTATTTGAAGTTGATTAAAAAAACCATTTCCTCATGCAGATATGATAATCCCCGTGTGTTATTTCGGTGATTTCGAATTAAATGATAATAATCGGTGGGAATGGAGATGGACGAGTGACATACGTGGTTGTATTGCAATTCCCGTAACAGAGAGTACACCATATTTAGAAATGTACCACGATTTGCAAAATAAGCTGAATGTCGATCAATCTCAATACGATATGCAATTGAGATATCTATTCAATGGTTATGGGGATTCATCCATTCCGATGCCACCGGTATTCGTTACTAATGATGCTGAATTGAATTATCTATTAGAATTGAATAAAATGCATCGGACTCCGACTGTTCTTGGTGTGACTTTAATTACGAAGGATGTTATCGAAGGTGAACGTGAAGATTCGGATAGGGCGGATAACAATGATCGAAGTTTTTGGGAGACAGTGGAGATAGTTCCTGCGGATGATGTGGGTATTCCTGAGACAGTTGCTTCTGATTGTGACGTCGCTGTTACGCGCAGAATTCCGTCAACAGTTGAAGACAATGAGAACATAAACGACTTTACAAATGAGAATTTGATTGCTTTATCCCGACAGAGACACGAGCCTGGTGGGAGCTCACAGGTTGGAACAAGTGGACCGTCCTCGAATTCTTCCCGTGTGGCTCCCGATGATGAGGACTTGCAGGTCGGGCAACTGTTTGAAACCAAGAAAGATTTGCAGGAAGCTGTTCACCGGCTGGCATTAAAATATAACTTTGAGTTCAAGGTAAAGAAATCAAACAAGTCATTGTTGACAGTTGCTTGCGTCGAAGACAGTTGCAATTGGCGCTTGAGAGCAACTAAGATGGACACGAATGAGTGCTTCGTAATTCGCAAGTATTTA